TGGCGCGTCGATTATAACTTCGTCAGGTTTCTTGACACTGAACTCCGCCAGCTCCCACTTCCAATCGTCTACATAAAGCTTGTGCAGCACGCAATCGAATGACAGGTGGAGGAGCTTGGGGTTTTGGTTTGGGATCGTGTGGGTGGAGAGAAAGCAGGGGTCGTCGGGTTCGGAATCGGAGGCCGAACTGGGAGGTTGCTCTGACTGTGACTGCGCCATGTGGGGAGTTGTGAGTAAATCAGGAGGGCAGTGGTGTTGTTCGCTTCTCGAAGCTACTTCTTCGCCGGAAATAATAGCACATCCACACCTTTTCTGTTTCACAGCGGACTTGCAGATTTTGATGTTGTTCTAAGTCTAATTTCTCAGTTGGTGGAGGCAAACTTCTATTTATTTATTTTTTTATTGAAATATACAGAGTAGAATGTACCCAAAATAAAAGAAAGCAGACACGGAGTAGGTTTATTTTTTGTTTCTGGGTTTTTTGTGGTTTTGCAGATTCACGGTGGAGGTGAAAAAATGAAAGAGAACCGACATAGCTTTTCGTGTCGTTTCCCACAAACGGCGCCAAATGTTGATGCACAAAACCGGAGGTCTTGAAACAACGTAAATCCGACCGTGAATCTGCAAGAAATGTAAATAACACAAGATATATCGTAGTTCACCCCAATGTTTGGGCTACATCCACACTGATTGTATTGTATTTCTCTAAGAAGTGAGGGAGAGAGATAGCTATGAAAGTGAGAGCGTTGAGAAGGGTGAGGAGCCTTAAGAATTGGCCTCAGAAATGGCCTCCCCTAATTGTGAGGGTGAGGGGTCTTTTTATAAAATAACGACTCCTCACTTATTACATATTTGCCCATTCCTTTATTACATAATTACATTGAAGTCCCTCGAGTATTTATACGAGGTCTAAATATGAGGCCCTAAATATGGTATAAACAAGTACTTTACAGTTCTTACTCTCAATAAGACGAGCGTATATTGAACGCGTTAACTTGAAAAGAGAGACCAAAGAATTTCATCTTTTGTGTTGGTAACTGTTCCTCCTATCAAGGAGTCATTATTAACCTAAGAAACTATGATAAGCTCAAAGCATAGAACAATGGCAGAAAGAATAACAAAGAAGAAGAAGAGAGAGCTTTATATATTTCGAAGAGTATATGAAGTACAATACAATCTCAATGACTGCTATATCAGCTATTTATAGTAGCTAATATCTCATTACAAAATGACTCAATTACCCTCTCTAACAACTTCCTCTTAACTAACTCAATCCAATTGACTAACCAATGACACAATGCCACATGATTCAGTTACATGAATCAGTATTGCTATATGGTTATTAGTCGTTACAACAGTTTCTTAAGAGGTTTTGACCACCTCTCAATCTAAAATGAGTTTAAAACATGTCTCCATGGACCATAGTATTTAATTGTAATTGAATATATTTAGTCCAATACTAATATTTGTCCAATTACTTGTATATCAAAACAAGTATACACCAAATATGGTCTCACTCACATTAGGAGCAAAACTCTTACATTCTCTCATATGAGTGTGATCAAACTATTTATTTACGTTATATAAGTAAAAGTGATCACTGACTCGTATCAGAACAATATGACTTCTGCAACTAATTATAATGATTTACTTGTTCGAACTTTAGAGCAGCTATAAGCATTTGTATTCTAAAATCACAAACCAATCTCATTAATTACAAAGTTGTAAACTGGAGAGCCTAAAATAGAAGCTTGTTATTACTATTACAGCTCTCACATGTCTAATCCCATGAAGTTATTCAACATACTTCATACCACTTTGCAAATATTCAGAACGAGTGAAGGGAAAAAATAGCTAGTGACATGTAAACAATACAAAATTACCTTGTAAAAAATTCATTGCAGATTCAGATAATTATATGTCAGAAAATTACAACACATTACAATGGTGCATGATTAAGCACGAGCGAGGGAGATGATTCATTCATTGGAAGCATCACGGTACACGTATAATGATGCATGATCAAGGTTCGAGACTAGGAATTAAACAACACTCTCTTATATTACACGAAACCATGTAACGTATATAATGTGGGGTGGCCGCGCCATATGTTTCAAAATTGACTCATTCTTTCTGGCCTAAAATAAGAAAATCAACAAAAAGAGAACTCCTCGACACAAGATACCTCCTTAAAAACGTACGTAGGGGATTTCGTTGATAGGGGTGGACACATTATATACGGTGCAGTCCATCCCCTTCCTCCCCCCACCAATAATAAAATAAAAGTAGGGATGTGATATCCACACACCCCATTTTACTTCTCACACACCTTTTTAATTTTCGGCCGTCGGATCGGATGAATTGAAGAAGATCAATAGACATAAATCATCAAGGGGTGTGTGAGAAGTAAAATGGGGTGTGTGGATAGCACACCCCTAAACGTAAACATCAAATGACATGACCGGCCAGGTTGTTCCAATTTCATCTCAGTTCGATCAGTTTTATTCAATTTGTACCTTACATTTACCAAAGAATGGGCCGAGTTTATCTGCTCCGAACTGAATAAAAAACCAAGCAGCCCAGTTTGTGAAACTCATATCATGGGCCGTCCATTACTATCAACCATAAAATAATATTGGAGGAGAATTGAAATCCAACGGTTACAAGTAAGATATAAAACAGCCACACAACTCCACGGAGAGACTGAAGAGAGAGAGAGAGGGAGAGCGAGCATTGTTGAAGGAAAGAAGAGAAATGAGGAAGTTCGATCCATGGCCGATTTTCTTCAAGCGAGAATGGAACCGGAACTGGCCGTTCCTCGTCGGGTTCGCCATCACCGGAACCCTGATCACCAAGTTCTCTATCGGCCTCACTGGTAAGCTCTTTTGCCCCCCTCCGATTTGTTTATTTCCAGTTCGAAACCCTAATTTCCGTTGACCTGTTTGTTTTGTGTGAATATATTCGCAGAGGAAGATGCCAAGAACTCGCCTTTCGTTCAGAGGCACAAGAGGTAGCTTTTCTTTTTAATCGTCTGATTCCTTAGGCCTATTTGATTTGCATCATTAAAATGCTGTAAAATGATTATCTGGTAGTTGTAGCCAATACAGTATGTCTGAAAAACGATGCACTTTTTCGAATTTCGTTGGAGATTTTAGTGATTGCGAAATAGGGTATAATGAATGGCATCTAGATCCTGCTTCTGTTGGTTTATGTGATTGTGATTGCTTTATCCTTCCTCTTTTATAAGGAAACATCGGTTTTTGGTAGGCATTACTTTTGTGGCAATCCAGGAGTAATTTACTTACGAGGATTTCATCACACATTGTGCATTTGGTGCAAAATTGGAAATGAAATGTTTTTCTCAGAACTTATGATATTTTTACGAGAGGAAAAAGGTGTTGAAGGTGTTGGGGTTGGTCTAGAACATCCCGAAGGGGTTTAGAGTCAGACGTTTAGACTTGGTTTTCTGCCGCTAGAAGGTCATGTTGAGATCATCCAATCATGCCTGGATTTTATTGATCCTGTCACGCAGTAGGAACAGAGGTAGAAACATAATTATCTATCTTAAAACAAGTTTTTGCCACTAAACCTCCATTTTTGACATACATTGTGAATACCAAATCGAGTACTACGGAGTTTTGTACTCTCTATCTGGGCAGGGGATTTTCTTGTCACACAATTTCATACCCGTTGTCATCCGGACTAAAGGCTTTCTGTATCCTGGATACACCTTTTTGACATTTTCTAGTATGATGGGTTGCATGTGTAATCGGTAAGGAGGTTTTGAAAATGCTAAAGTGATGGCTTATTTAAAAACATTGTTTAGGTTCCCTTCATGCAGTTAACAAGAGCTTGAAATTGTTAAAGTGATGGCCTACTTTCAGTCAAAGGGTATATGTCAAAAGAATACCTTTCCAAGACATGGGCATTGCAATGCTTAACTTTACATAGAGCAGGGGGTTGTCAGGGATGCATTGGCACATATACACCCAACTCTCGGATTGCTGTAGTTTGTGTTGTGCTTGTTCTTTTACCTCTTGTGTTTATAATCTGATCTCTCTGCTTTGGTGAGTCTTGTGTTTCTTGGCTTGTACCAAGGTTTGTACATCACCAATAGTAAAACCTTAGCATTGTTATTTATAGTTTTATGACTCTGTTGGTGAAAATCGTTATTTAGTTCTTTTTTTTTCGTTGTAGGTGATTTATGTTTGGTGTATTAGCCGCCTTTGTGCTAGCATTGTGGAGAAGACGGCCCTCGTGCTATTCTCAAGGACCATAATAACAAAAGAGAGATGTTCTAGATACTCTTTTTTGAATTTTCTGTTATGTTTTGGATGACTTGAATAACATGAGAAGAAATACTTACATTCATTGGTTTTGAATTTTGTGCGTTTGGCCAGACATTCTTCAAAACATGAAACAAAGTTGTGTTAGAGTTTCACGTTATTGTTACAGGCGAAATATCATTTTCCCTTGCTTCTTGTTTTGTGATTTCTTTCCTGTTTCTAGTTTTGTGTCAGCTTTCTTTTCTCATCCGAAGGAGTTCTATATGACATCTTGAAAGTTCAAGGACTTGTTTGGAAGTACTTTTAAAATGACTGAAATCGCTTTTAGAGAAAATGTTTGTGTTCCTGAAGCACTTGAAGTGCTTAGTTATGTGCTTCTTGTAGGAAGCATTTCAAGTGCTTTTTAGGATTCATTTATATTTTTACCAAGTATTGGTTACCAAAATATTCTCACTAAAAGCGTTTTTAACCATTTCAAAACACTTCCAAACGTGAGTGAAAATTTGCAAAGAGGAACGTAAAAGTAATGTTCATCATATTCACTTCAAAATCACAAGTAAAACGACTCACGAAGCTCTAAAATGAATATGAAACAAAGTGCAACCAACCAAGAATAAAAGCATACTTCGCGAGCGGTGGACCGTCCTGGTGATTAGGGTCTTATTTATCTTACTGCGTCATGGATTCAAACTCCTCTTCCTCCCCAAGTGGAAATTGAAGTAATAATATCGCTTGTATTTAAAAACGTTACAACGGGATTCAATCGAATAGAAATTGTAATCTTATTATTGAACCGACGACAATCTTTAACCGTAAAATAGCGCTAGATGCCACATTTAGAAGGATTCTCCTTGGCATCTAAGCACTAGCTTTGTAAGGGGATGAAAAACGAAGAAAATCTTTCGAGAGAACAAGAAGGAAGGAAGCACACAATGAAGTTACAGGAATCATCGAAGACGAGAACATGCCGCAGTGTCAGACACAAATTCCATAACCAGAAGCTCAAAGTCTATATTTCCAGCAATGCAAACAGACATCATTTCTTTTTGTTTGCTCCGAGCCTCAATCGGAAATCCTCCTCCATGAGAGGTAGGCCTTCGCGCAACTTGATCTTCGGCTCCCATCCCAGCAATTCTTTTGCCTTTGTGATGTCGGGTTTTCTCTGTCTAGGATCGTCTGGAGTGTTCTCCACCCTCTTGATCTCCACCTCAGGGTTGATGAGCTGCAAGAGTCAAATACACTGATCAACATGTATATACATCCCCACCTCGAATTCTTTGTTTCAGAAATTAGCAACGAACACATCCCAATTCGATTGTTTCAAACGTCATTGTATCCAAACAAAAACAATTGTACATTTTCCTTTGTAGAAATTTAAGGTTATGCTTTAAGAAATCAAATAAAAAGCTTCTGGAAAACAATATGCTACAACAGCCTGCAGAAGGAAAGACGATGGAAAAAGAGAAACTGACCTCCTTCACTGTCTCTGCAAGTTCAAGCATTGTAAATTCACCTGAAAGTACACAAGAAAGTACCGAGGTCAGTACTTATGTCTATACGATGAGAGCACATTCTTATGACAGATTTCCGAGACACACTCGTCACGGTATGATGTTTCTAACAGATTACCAGGGTTTCCGAGGTTTATGGGTCCAGTGTGCTCTCCTTCCATCAGACGAATGAGGCCATCAACCTAAAACATTTTTAACAGGTAACTATATGAAACCGAACACATTGCAACACGGCACAACATAATCAAAAGAAAAACGTGGTTCACATACCAGGTCAGAGACGTAGCAGAAACTGCGAGTTTGAGTCCCGGGATTTTGAACTGTCAAAGGCTCATCACTGCAATGTTGAAAGCACATGAAAATTAATCCAAAGGTGTCACATTCAAAGGAAAGGGAAAAGCTGAAGCTTATCCACCAATGTAGGCAAATATTAGTAACAATTAACAGCTAGACAAATATTTCTGTCGCTAAATGTGTGAACACGTCGCTCCTGGCCTTTAGAAGGGCTTTAGGTTTGGCAACCAACAGTCAATACCAAAGTGCTGATACATAACCATCATTAAAGCCATCCTAAGGACTCACCGAAGTGCTTGAGCTATAAAATTGCTGACGACGCGCCCATCATCAATATTCATGCGAGGGCCGTATGTATTGAATATTCTGGCAATACGTATTTCTGTCAAAGAGAGCGAACGAAATTAAATAATCAAACTACTACTAGCAAAGGTTTACTTTGTTTTGTGGTGGAAAAAGAAAGAAAAAAACACAATACCGATGCCATGCTGCCTATGATAGTCGAACATCAAGGTCTCAGCAACGCGCTTGCCCTCATCATAGCAGCTCCTTACTCCTGTGATTACAATATGCACTTGTTGACATCACCGTATTCAAAACTCAATAAATCCTTGAACAAAATAACATTCTGTCTTCTATTTCCCCCCATTAATTGTCTATACGGTTTGCATTTACGCAGATATAGTCTTCTTAGATCTGTCAGAATGCAGCGAAATTCCGTCTTGGAATGAGATGAGCACTTACCAATTGGGTTAACATTACCCCAGTAGCTTTCAGGTTGTGGATGCACAAGAGGATCTCCATATACCTCTGAAGTGGATGTCAGCAGAATCCTGCTCAAATATATTTACTTAAATAAGACAACTTAATGGAATACAATTATAAATCTTTCATAAATGCAAGATTAATAGACCACCTTGCTCCAACTCGCTTTGCAAGTCCGAGCATGTTCAGCGTGCCAATCACGTTTGTTTTTATCGTCTGATACAGAATCATATGCTCAAATGTTAGATTACAGATTTAAGATAAATTTGAAAGACTTTCTGTTGGAGGGAAAGGAGATCTTATATGAATGAACAGGAAAAAGAAAGTAATATATCAGCTGCCGTTGCTGATCAAGGAGAAATGACATGTTGCCCGCCTTTACAAGTCATTTTCCCTTAATCAGCAATCTGAATCACACGCGACATATACACTACCAAATGCCATCTCGAATTCTAATGCTTAAATCACATATGTTTACCTTTACAGGATTGTATTTGTAAAAAATTGGAGAAGCTGGGCAAGCAAGATGGTAAATCCGATCAACCTCGACCAACAATGTCTCTGTGACATCTGTAACGAACAAGCATAAAGGCATTCATCAAAGCCATACCTTTGCAAAGATTAAGGACACTTGACAGAAACAAAGACAGATGAAAGTAACTAGCTAAGTAAACCGAAATGTATGTACCATGACGAATAAGCTCAAATCTGGGATGACCAATCCACTTTTTCAGATTGTCCTTCGAGCCAGTGAAGTAGTTATCAACGACAATAACCTGAGTAGAGAACGGAAACAAGATAAACCACGACAAAACAAATCATTTGACGTATGAATTTACTACGGGTAACTTATTGCAATTTTGTTCATCATAAGCGCTTAATATTAACAAAAGTTTCCCGGTATACATTAAAAAAAGTGGATCTTGAACTCAGTAGGTTTTATTTAAAGTAAAAAAAATGCTTACCTCATTCTTTTCATTTTCCATTAACCTGTCAACCAGGTGAGAACCGATGAATCCAGCTCCTCCAGTAACCAAAATTCTCATATTAGACTGCCATGGTTAAAATACACAATTAAAGCATTACAATAACAATACGATTAACATGAAAATTTTGTCAGAACAATTATATTTGCTAGCCATCTAATACCAAACAAATCGTACTCCTTGAACTGCAAATTAGCATGATTTATATCAATAACTGTAATGAACCGATCTTTGCTCATAGAAACAAACAAGCGAAAAGATGGAAACGTGACAAAGTTACATGACACCAGAATTTCAAAACGTGCCAGATCATAAGGATGGGCAACATTTTCATCTGGACTCACAGATTCAGAAATGTGGTTTGACATTCTGCTAATTGGGTATAAAACAGAGAACCAAGAAAGTTGAGGAATAAGTGCGATACAAGTACAAAACCTCGACCACCGACGATAGAGAATTTCAAGATCTAATAGTACAACTACAAACCAATCATGTGGGGAATGCTATCTATATTAGCAAAAGATGCATGGAAAGGAACCCCTTTCATACAATTATCAGTGAATTACAATATTTTTTTTATCAAGGGGCTTGCAATCAGTAAATGCTGATGGAGAAATGCAACAACCCCAGTGGCATAAATATCAGAAACACAATAAATACACAAAACCAACACCAAAAATTGGCATTTCAACACTGTAAAAAGCAGTTTGCACCAACCCAAAGAAGCAAAAAAGATATATGAGTGAAAAAAAAAAAAAAAATTAAGCACAAGGACCTGAAAAAACTTGGAAAACCGCAGAGGGGATGGCAAAGGAGGAGGCTTTGTTGTGGTCTGGTGCTCCCCATTGGTAGAATTGTTTGCCATTTTTTCCTCAGATCCTCTCTACAATCTAAACACCTGCAACAGTTTACACAAAACCTTCAAATCACACACACTAAAAGATCAAATTGTTGCAGAAATTAACACAAAGTTTTGAACTTTAATTTCTCATCATCGAAAATTCTACTATGCTCTGAAATATCTTGTACTTTGAGATTTTTAACCGTTAGATCTTAATCATTAAATATTTAACTAATGATTTAACCGTTAAAAACCTCGGAGTATACTAGAAAATCACTATAATTATAAAGAAAGATTAGAGCTTGAAGTTAAGTTGACCTGAAAGATAAAGCTGCAGAGGAAGAAAACCCAACACCCCAAGTACCCTTTGGATCCGCGATGCCTTAAGTTAGCAGAAACCAAATATATATAGTCCCTCAAATCTCAAAAGAAATCCGAAAATCGAAGCTTCTACCAAACGATGAATTTTAATTGGGTAGAAATAAGAATCATTTAAATAATACAGCAAACCGTAAAGCCTTCAAACTCAAGGAAAGTCCTGGCCTTTATTGATAGCTCCTCGATAACAATAAATTAAATTTGAAGTCACACACCAAACTGTATTATTATTATTCCCCCCTTTAGAAATCATTTTCTTTTGAATGCATAGAAAATAAAAATCAAATTTGATAATCCAATTGTAATTAGTAATTAATTATGTACCAAAATCAGAGATTGTAATGATTTGTTTACTTGTGAAGAAGCTAGAGAATCTTGGATTTTGAGGGGTTTATAGGGTTATTTAATTTATGGGATTTGGTAAAAAGGGTAGGATTTATAGGATTAGTGACCCTAATAACAGTAATTAGTGAGATATAGCCTATAATTGGGGGGAATTAGGGTTTTTCCTAAATTCTTGGGGGACTTGGTTACTGTCCGAGACTTGTATGAGCTAGTTCCTTGCTTTGTTTTGAAGGCTGGAATCAGATGCTCTTTTGTACGAGTGAAGTCTTTTTAATTTTTATGCGCTTACGCCATCTGGGGTATTGCACGTGTTTTAATACAACTGAACAAGTGGTGTCCTGACAAGAAGACTCTGGATGGATTTTATTTGCATTAGTAATTTTTTTTTTTGAAAAGTACGATATTCATTAATAGAATTTAGAAAACTTACAATATTAAAGATATAATATATAACATGGGCTTTGATAAAAATTTTATCGATGATTTCAACCTGGTCGAAGGGAAATAGAGCGTCCCACATCTAACACATACTAAATAGTACTATCCTCAATAAGGAGATCAACAATTACATCAGGTGGTTCTTCAAACCAAGTTATACAATCATCGATACTCGAACTAAAATGTGCAAGCCAATGCGCAAATATTCAATGTGATGCATTGATATATTCGACGGTTGGATTTGTATGGTTGTACATGGACAATTTATATTTAGTTGCTCGAATATGAGTGCACTTCATCAAATGGTTGAGTATGAAAATGAATGAATATAAGAATGAATCAATGAGAAGAAATGAGATGGTACATTATTTTTGTCAAATCTCTTGTAGACGTGGTACATTACTTCTGCAAATCATGCAACTTACAAGAGATTTCGTACAAATTAATGTGGCATGAGGGATTCTCCCATTGAACAAGTTCCTTGATTCTCTCTTCAATCTCTCTTATTTCTCTTATTAAACTACTTATGCTAAACCACTTAAACACAAAACCATTTGGCTCTTGAGCTCCTCACTTTTAGCATCAATTTTATCAACAACTTCCTTCGAATGTTGGAGATAAGAACTCATAATCCCATCCATCTTTTAATCCTCTGAACTACAAACCCTAAGGGCACGTTTGTTTGGCTTCACTAACCTGGACTGGACTGGACTGGACTAATTTTTAGTGTAATCCTCTGTTTGTTGGCTACCAGGACTAAGTTTAATGGTATTAAGTGGGACTCGCTTTCACTAACTCTTTCGTTAGGTGGTCCTAGCGAGACCCCCCAAATCTGAGCGGACTGCTAAGACTACCTCTCTCTCGTGTCGTCTCGCTCGACTCCTCGCCTTGCTCGATCGACGGCAAAGAACAAGCTCTCTTTCCCCAGTCCAGCCTAACTTCTACTCAAGGTTACCCTCTCAATTTTCTTTGCTCCCCGCCTGCCCTAAACGAACGCCTTGGCCGCCGTCGCTCTTCTGCTTCGTCTCTGTCACAAAATTCACTGTAATTCTTTCAACCCATCTCGAATTAATTCAATTTTTTGCTAAAAATCCTTGCTTTCTTTCAATGTTATGTCAATTTTGATGCGAAATTTCTTTCTTTCACATATTTGTCAGTTTCTGCTGTTCAATTACTTTGTAATCCGAAGTGAGAATTTCTACTTTTTGTGTGTGTTGGGGGGGGTGGATTAAAGTATTTATCAGATTTTGGTGCAGTAGATGCTCTTAGCTTTTTGTTTGGGATCTCATATAATCCATGGCTTGACACAAATGTTTGATTTAGGGTTCGCTCTTGATTGTTGATAGAATTTGTAGTAAGTCTGCCGGATGATGTTGGGAAATTGCGCAAGGGCTTTGAGATCCAGGTTATAACCATTTACATGGACTGGAACAGTGAAAAGGATTACTGTGATCTAATCCCTTCTGATGGCTCAAAGTTTCCATTCTTACTGCCCATATGAATACATAAGTTTTTGTGATTTCATCACCCGTCTCGTTCTGGCTTGACCGTTGAACATGGCAAAGATTGAACTGTTTCAGACTTTCAATTAAATTTGTGCTTCAGTGGGAGGGAGTGAGGAAGTTATCGAACGATTCTCGTTCTACCTTGAACCTTTTGCATTTTCTACCTAATAGATCATGGGATCGACTACTAGTTGTAGTAGATAAATCTCTTGAGTGTGGTGATGGGGGAGCGGAGGGCTACTGGATAAGGAAATGTGAAGACGTAGGAATGGTCTTGTGGTTCCTTGTATTGTGGAAATATATTGACAGTCCCCTAAAGTCCAGCGTAGAATTTTCTCCCGTCTAGCCATCGTGTTTTCAATGGGATTGGTCAAGTAAAAGTGAATCCTTTCTTTTTGTTTCTTTTTAGTGTCCCCCTTAATCTCAATTAGTTAATGCAGAAGTTTAGCAGTATTATGCCATGTTTGGAGTGAATTCTCTGATTTTCTCTTTTATCTTTAAGGTGAGCATTTTCTCTTTTTTCATTGTAGATATGTAAATGATGGGAGACCCTTCTGGCAATATATAGTCAGTTCTTCCACTGGCTGTTCCGATTCTCAGTGCTTTGAAGAACTTTATAACTACTATACGACTGACAAGGTTGGGTGATATTTAAGTACCATTTTCTGTATAGCAATATAGAGGTGTGAAGTGGTTAATATTTTTCTTTGTTTTCTCATAGGCTTGGCATCTCTGTGATCTTGATGCTGAGAAGGTGGTTGAAGCTCTGAGGAAAGCAGGTGTTAAAGTAGCTGTTGTATCAAATTTTGATGCCCGATTAAGGCCTCTTTTTTACATGATCTATGTTTTGTTTACGGTGGTTTATTTTCTTTAGTTATTAGACGTTTGATTTGTTGCTTTCATGTAACACCGTTTGATTTGTTGGGAGAACACTTTGTTATATTGTTGTTTGGAACAATGCTACTCTTGAATCATGTATGTTTCTTTCGTTGGCAAGAAAATTTGGTTTTTGTATTTTTATTGAGTCTCACTCTCATCAAATATTATTAATTTTAATAATATCTTTAATAAAAAAGTAATTAAAATAGAACAATAATGTAGTCCTAGTCTGAGCAAACATCAAACTGGTGACAGTACTGTTTTCATTATCCTGCTTCTTAGTCCGACACTGCACCAAACGCTTTTCTAAGCTAGTCCAGTTTAGTCTAGTCTAAGCCAGTCCAGCTTAGTCCCTGAAGCTAGTCCAGTCTGAGACAGTCCGGTGCAACAAACGCACCCTAAAAATATTCGGGGTTCGAGATTTTCCCAACTCAAGATCATGAGATGTGTTACTCTTTTGATCAAGAACTGGGATTGATTTTATCAAGGTGATCTCCATGAAGCATGTTATCAATCTTCCAATCATTTCCTTGAAATGTTCAAGATCAAATTTTAATGCATTTACAATTTTCTTCCACGAAGCCTCATGTTGGAAACCACATCGGCTAGGAGGGAAGGAGAAAAGCCATTTAAAAAGGATTACCCCACTCTAACTAATACCGAGACTTTTTGTGATAAAACCCTACACCTGAGGATTGGGCAGGTGGTAAAGTGGGGACAATATCGATGTTGTTGAAGGGGGCCCTTGGCCCGTCGACCTGAAAAATTCTACATGGTATTAGAGCCAGTGAACGAGCTCGTACTGCCACGTGATTGGGTGGGTCCCCATTGGCCCCGCATGATTGGTGAGTCCCGATATGGCTCCACATAAGCCAAAGATACCACATGATTGGGTGGGTCTCCATTGGCCCCGCGTGATTGGGTGAGTCCCGACATGGCTCCACATGGTTGCCGATGTGTGGAATTTCACGTGTGACCCATAAAATGGGGTCTCACGTGCGAGGGAGTGTTGGAATCCCATTATGTCCCACATCAGATAGAGGAAAGGGCAAATACCCATTTAAATAGGATTACCCCACTCTAACTAATACCGAGACATTTTGTGATAAAACCCCACACCTGAGGATTGGGCAGGTGGTACAGTGGGGACAATATCGGTGTTGTTGGAGTGGGCTCTCGGCCCGTCGACCTGGAATTTTTTACATGGTATTAGAGCCAGAGGACGGGCCCGTATTGCCACATGATTGGGTGGGTCTCCATTTGGCCTCTTATGATGGGTGAGTCCCGACATAGCTCCACGTAGGCCAAAGATGCCACGTGATTGGGTGGGTCCCCATTTGGCCCTGCGCGATGGGTGAGCCCCGACATGGCTGCACGTGGTTACTGATGTGTGGATCTCCACATGTAACTCATAAAATGGTGTCTCACGTGTGGGGGAGTGTTGGAACCCCATTCTGTCCCACATCGGACAGAGGAAAGGGCAAAGACCCATTTAAATAGGATTACCCCACTCTAACTAATACTGAGGCATTTTGTGATAAAATGTTTGTGAATTATCTTCAACAGCTTCAACTACATGAGCACTTAAAACTAGCAAGTCCATCATTTTGGACAAGGACCTCAACAGCTTTCCATAGCAAGCACTATGAAAAGGCAAAAACCAGAAATTGGGTTCCGCCTCAGCTTCTCCAATCAACCAAGGAATAAGAGATAAGAGTCTTATTGACAAGAACGCTTGGAAGAGAAAGCAACCCAAAACTCCATATACAGTTCCTAAAACAGTCCCCTGTGCTTTAGCATTTGCAGCATTGAATGTTGCTTCTCTGGCTGAGGCCAGACTGGTTGCTACTGAAAGTCCTGCCCAATTATCATTTTCTTTGCTGTATATCAAACCGAAAATCACGGCAAGACTCAAGGAAAGTGAGCATTTCAAAGCTTCCATAAGCCTCTTATTACTTACCTTGATGGACAAGTTACTCCATATCTCAATGAAACCGA